TTTTTTTTTTAGCAAATTCTTTTTATTCATTAACAGCAAAAGTTGAAACCAGACCTGGAAATAGAGCGTGTGCTTGAACAGTACAGCTTGCGTCCAAGAAAAGAAGAAAAGAAAAAAGAAGAGATCTATTCGGAGAAAAAGATTTTTGAGACAATAAAAACAATTGAGAAACCATCATCAAAAACAAAGGAGCTAGAGTTTGGTGGAAGAATTGGTATGTGTGCAAATTGTCATAATAGTTGAAAATTACTACTTTTATGTTTTTTACTTATTGACCATACTATCATGTCAATAAGTATTTTTCCAATTTTTGGACCCTGGTTGCAGAATCCAGAGTCATATGACAGTGCTTCACGTAGTCTGTACTGGTATTGGTGGAAGTCAAGGAACTGTTATTACTCTTGGTTCTCCTGTGAAAGATAGTGAAGATCTTGAGCCTACCCTTGCACAGGGAGATTTAAATATTTCCAAAATAAAATTAAGAAGTAACTAGCAAAGTTTTTACATTTTCAAAACCTAGGTCCTTCAAACTTGACAGTAAAGTATTCTTTATACAGTTTTTTGAATAGTTTTAGAGGGATGCAGTGGGTGTGATGCTTCAGTTTGCTTATATGACCCCATATGGGAGGGAGAAGAATGTCTCTGTGTCCCATTGTGTGACTGGGGGATTGCTGCTGTCTTGCTTCAGGAGTAGACAGTGGCAACCTTTTCTTTGTTGCTAATCTTGAGCTTTGTCAGTGGGATTGAATTTTTTTTATTGTTTTCTATGTTTATCTTATAACGTGGCATGATATCTGTTTACAGGGGCCTTCGCGCTGATATTTTTCATGCCTGCTACTGTATTCTACTTGCTGTTGATGTGCAAACAGGATGACCCCAGTCTTACAAACTTCCCTCCTCCTTTCCCAGCACTGGAAAGTCTTTGGGAGGCTAGGGTGTTTGGTGTTTTTCTTCTGTGGTTTTTCCTTCAAGCTCTGTTTTACTTACTGCCAGTTGGAAAGGTAAGGTGTTCAGTGGCAATTGGGTCTTTATGGATAATTAATTTGTGGGTTAGGCTGGAAGGTGGGGTATGTTCTTAATGCAGTGAATTTGAAAGCAAACTAATTAGTTTTCTGTATTAAGCTGGAATATGGCTAGTGTAGATTTCTTTAGCTTAAAATATCACATTTTGTTAAGAATTTAATGGCTGTGGATTTCAGTCCTACAAGCAGAAAAGGCAGAAGGCATTATATAGGAGTTCAAAGCATGGGTAAAATTTATTTGATAGAATTCTAGAAGAATTTCAGGTATCTGACTTTTAAATCGACAAACTGTTTGATACCGCGTTTCTTACTGATATACAGTGTTTTGGAATGTAATCTTCACTTATGGGAAGCTGTAAACCTTCTAGCCATATGGATATCAGGCAAATGTTCTGTTTCCCTCTTTTTGTGACTAGAGGGATACTGGCAGGTCCTGAAAGAACACTAGAATAACTAAATCATTCAGTCATGTTGTTCTATTGCTCTACATGTTTACAATGATTGAAGCTGTTCTATTTTCTTGGTGCTGGTTAGGAAAATGAAGAGGTTTTTTAAGTGTTTTTATTTTGAACTGTTACCCTTTTTTTCTTCTGATATCCAAAGTATATGTTTGAGAACAATGCATGATCTTCAGATTTGAATGTGTCTGCCTTGGTTGAATGTCTTTGTGGCAGAGATGTCCCTGATTTTCCTCCTCTGCCAGTGCCCCCAGAAAGTACCTTGTTGAAACACTGGTATTTTATTCTTCCTAGGTTGTAGAAGGCCTCCCTCTTTCAAATGGAAGGAAACTGCAGTATCGGATAAATGGTAAGCATGTTGCAGTTGCTTGTTCTGAAATCTGATACTGCTATCTGGTTTGCACTGCTCAGTATCATAAGATACAAATGATCAAAGATACACTCTGTGGTCAAACTGGGTATCTGTTGTAAATCTGTCATAAAATAGGATGAGCCTTTTCTTGGAACAAGAAGGTTAGTGATGATCAGGAACTAACTGCCCCGAGAGGAAGACATTACACTATACAAGGCACCTGGTCTGCATCCAGTTGTTTTTGGTGACTCCTGTCATATTCCTTGCATATTTGCTAAACAGGCAGTTGCTTATTGGAAGTGTTAGTAATGCTCGTGTAACAAGGACTGTTGCTCCACAGGAGATGTTCAGGAATGATCTAAAGAGATTTTATCCCATATGTCTAAATCATCTTGGATGTCTCTGATTTACAGACAAATAAGAAGTGTTTTTTGATTGATTTAAACGTTCTTATTCTTGCCTGGCAAAGAACGGTCCTGAGTCCTTATTCAGATCCGATTCTGCTTCCTATGAATGAGGCAAGTTTCTCATCTAGGATTAGAGTATGGCTTTACATATTTTAGCAGTCCTGCTTTTTCAGCTTAAATAGAAAAGTGTACTTTGATGCCTCACAGATACTCCAGAATACCTGTTTGATTGATTAGTCAGTTCAAGGACACTGTATGGTGGTAATGGAAGCCAAATGTTATATTAAGAAGCTGAGTGGGGTTTTGTCACAGTCTGGTGAGATGCACCATTTTTAAGTCACATTTTTTAAGACTGAATAGGGCTGTAAATCTTGGAACCGGAGTGAATTGCATCCTGTACAAGTGAGTCATATTAGGCTGCTCTGTAACTTTTTTGTTTTGGACTTCTTTCTTTAGTAGGGGCATAGTCCTGCAATTTTTTTCCCCATTCTGATAAAAGGAGGAAATAACCTACATGGTTTGGATAGTTTAAATAATTTTTAAAAAGCCATCTTCTTGTTCCTTCAAAGGCTAATTCTCAAAACAACTTTGAAAGCCTTCTTGAGGAAAGGAAGAAGACCCTGTGACAGGACAAGAGGCAGTGGGCACAATGTGAAATACAGAAGGTTCCATCTGAACATCAGGAAACACTTTTTACTGTGAGAGTAGCTGAGCACTGGCATAGGTTGCCTAGAAAATTTGTGGAGTCTCCATCCTTAGAGATATTCAAAAGTTACATAGACATGGTCCTGGGCAAATGGCTCTAGGTGGCCCTCTTTGAGCAGGGCAATTGGACTAGATGAGCTCTGGAGGTCCCTTTCAACCTCAAGCTTTGTGACTCTTGGCTACTTAGGTGAGAGCTTTGGAACTGCCTGCTTCTACTTGGACATCATTCCATTGTGCATGATTTTATACTCTTAAAAGTACAGAAGTACTGTTTTGTGTTCAAGTTTTGACTTGGTAGTTATTTTAATACTTTATTACTGCTATCTGAATTGGAGTATATATGAAAGTAACTTGAAGAAGAAAATATGGTTATCTGAGCTGTCCCAGAGTAGATTTTGTGACCTGCTGTCATTACCCAGTAGTAATGGCGGTGTTTGTTTTTCCACTAGAATCTGAAATTGGATCCTGTGTTGTTGTAAAAAATGTAGGAGTGCTCAGAGTGTTGCTGCCTCTTGTCCTTTTGATGAGGAGCACAGGAAAATTTCAGGGTGTAGATAGAATGTCTTGGGTATATTGCTGTGCCTCAGAAGTTTGAAACTCAAGAGCATGGGATGTGTAAGACATTATTGGAATATAGACAAATCTTAGAAAAAGTAAAAATGCAGAAAGGCTGGACTGGGTAGGTTGAATGACTTTTTTTTGGCTAATATGTTTTTCTTCTACATCCTTTAGGGTTTTATGCATTTATTTTGACTGCTGCAGCTATTGGAACTTTATTATACTTTCAATTTGAACTTCATTATTTGTATGACCACTTCATGCAGTTTGCAGTGTCAGCTGTAGCTTTTTCTTTGGGCTTGAGCATTTATCTGTATATTCGGTCCCTGAAAGCACCTGAGGAAGAATTAGCACCAGGTGGAAATTCTGGTGAGTTCTAAGTATTTTGGATAATTTCTTTCCAGTTGTTTACTACAGTTTCATTTTTACGAATTAAAGGCTGGATTTAGGGCTGGTTATTATAATACTGTGACTTTTACTGTCTACCAATGTAAAATTCATGTTGCAAGTTAAATGACAATTTTTTTGTTCACACTCAGCTACTGTAAAATGCTTAAAATTTCAGTTGGATTATTTTGAATAGCTTGCGCAAAAATATCTTGCCTGGTCTGGTCCCCTAGCTATGAGAGCACAGTTTGTTCCTTTCCATTTTCAGCATTTGCCTAAGAGCCTTGTCTAGTTTGCTTCATAGTGGCCCTGCTGGTGGGCCTTTTCTTGAGACAGCTGGGGATGGAAAGGAAAACTGAAATATCTACATATTTTGGCAGTGGGTATTCAGGTACAGAACTTGAAGTTACAGTGTATTTCTGAATTTTTCTTTTGCTGAGCACTTCTAAATCTAGTTAGCCAAACTGAGTTTTCAAAAGAGATTTTGATTCAGTCACAAGACTGCCTACCTCAAAAGTATCAATTATATGCATATGTTTTTGTAGGACAAAGGATAGATTGAGAAGTTGATTAGCGTTAAACAAACTGCTTTTAAAAATGATCATATGGTGCTTGAGAAAGGGAGTTTATGGACAGAGCATTTAGTGTATTAGAATGTAGTATTCAAACATTCTCAGTTCCTTTGTCAGTGCAGCATGCATGTCCATGAAGGGAAATAATAAATGATCACATTTTTTCTTTGAAAAGTGCAGTTCTAGTTCTTTGTAAGTGGCATAGCAGCATTCTGTAACTGTTCTGCAAAGTGCTTATTATTTACTAATTCTGTGCAGGATATCTTGAAGTCAAGGTATTGTGTTTTCCTTCTTATCCATCTCTTTTGATGGACACGTAGTTGTCACAGCTGAAGGAATTCTTGCTCCCAGAGAAGAGCAGTGAAATAGGAGGAAAAGTAGAATTAATTAATACCATAAAGTCCTGTTAGTGGAGGAAACTGTGATGTGAGCTTCAGGATAAGGCTGAAAATAAAGAAGGAACAAGTGTCAAGGAGAAATGCCTACAGCAACTTCTGAAGTATTTAGTCTTCCTAATAAATAAAATATTTGGGCCTCTTAAAATATAAACCATGTGGGGTTTGCTTTGTATTTTGCATATACTCTCACATTTTTCTTGACAATCTAAAGGCTTTTTTTTTATTTACAATGAGAGAACTTAAGTAGAAAGTAGGAACTGCTTTATGAGGAGGAGTGTAGTGGTAGATAAAAGGAAGAGTATTGCTAACAGAGATTTATGTCTTATCTGCAGGGTATTTTGTTTATGATTTTTTTATGGGACATGAATTAAACCCTCGTATTGGCAGTTTTGACCTCAAATACTTCTGTGAGTTGCGTCCAGGATTAATTGGCTGGGTGAGTCAGTGATCTTACTTATTTTATTTGCTTGAATATTACACAAATGGTTTATTTATATATGTATAAAAGTGGTATTAAGGATACAATATTTATAAACAGGAAAAAAAGTACTAACAAACAGTTTCATGTTGCCAGATTTTTAATTAGCATTTTTATTCATTTTAGGAGATTTTCTACATTTTAGCTTCTTCATTTTGTGGGACGTGAAAACCCTTCTTAAAGTAATCATATGTTCAAGCTACAGCTTCCAAAATGTAGTTAGCTGCAAACTGTTGCTTGTGAAACAGGTTGTAGGTTTTTTTTAAACTTAAAAGATTGGTCTAAAATGTCTCTATTAAAATGTTGTATAGTGTAACAGAAAAGACCACTCTATTTTACAAGGAAAATTTGTAATAAAATATTTTCTGCACTAGGTTGTTATAAACTTGGCAATGCTCTTGGCTGAGATGAAGATACACAATCAAAGTGTGCCATCTCTGTCAATGATACTCGTGAACGGCTTTCAGCTTCTTTATGTGGTGGATGCTCTTTGGAATGAGGTGAGTGACAATCGTATTAGACTGTTAGCGCTGATTACAATGTGAAATGAATGAAGCTTTGTAAATTCTAAATTCCTTCCTCCTCGTTTCTAGGAAGCTGTTTTGACTACAATGGATATCACCCATGATGGATTTGGATACATGCTAGTGGTCGGAGATTTGGTGTGGGTTCCGTTTGTCTACAGTCTGCAGGCCTTCTATTTAGTTGGTCATCCTACTGCAATTTCTTGGCCTGTTGCTGCTGCAATTACTATTCTGAACTGTAAGTTACAGTGAGTGTTACTGGTAGTAACAATGTAGTACTGATTTTGAGGTGATTGTGAGGTGAGGTGAAGCTTTAGCTAAGATGCAGTGATCATATTCTCTCCATTACCACAGATGGTGGAAGCATGTGTCTGGCTACTGTTTCATACAAAGAATATCACTTCTCATTTTATTAAATAAAGGATGAGTGAGAGTCTGGACACCTAATTGTTCTGTTGAGAGGCATCTTTAGATGGATGCTGTTTGGAGTTGCAGAAGTAACTTAAAACACCTTGAATGAAGGCGAGCAGATGCCTTTAAAAGTCAGTCTGAGGGACTGTGAGTGACTCTTATAAAAAAGAAGTCAGTAGCTTGTTGGCTGTGCTTTACTGAACTTAGGGAAAAGGAGGTTTTGTTGTTTAACAGTTTGCATCTCCTTCCCTGATGCCCATAGTTACAAACTCATGTTCGTGGAAGACATCTTTTTTCTAACTGAGTGCTTTGAGAAAAAAGCATCTTGCATCTTTAGGGGACCTTAAATTTGCAACAATATGGCCTTGTACTTTGTCGCTTTTATCTAAGTAAACCTAAGAGAAAAAGTTTTTTTGGAGATATGACAAAGACTTTAAGCAGTTGGATAGAATATGAAGGCGTACAACTTAGTGTGTGCAGTCCTAGGAAATACATTATATTTTTTTCATTTTCAGTTAATATTTTTTTTTAGCATCTTGAAGGATATTGTGATTATGTTTTTTAAATACACCCTCACACAAAGCAAATTTAAGCTGCCTTGTGAAAGTGATAGCAGGGGAAGAATTTCAAAACCAGATAATACTTCATTGTCTGGTTCTTCTAATGTTGTGAACTTTGAATTAGTTGATCAGTTTATGGACTAAGCAGTGAAGCAAAACACTGGGCTGTTAATAGACGTATAATCTTATAAATTGTAGTACATCACTTTATATGAATGTCAACATTATTAATTACATTAATAAATTGTAAGTCAGATATAAATTTAAAAGTAGATGTGAAAATAAAGCTACTCTAAAATCTTAATGTTAGTAATGTATAAAAACATATGGAATGCAGGTTTCCAGTAACATTTCAGTCTTGTTAGAACTCTCAGAACTGGAGAATATCAGTTATATCTCTGAGGAAAAGACTTTGATATAGTAAAAGTGGCATAGAGCATGTGAGTGCTTTTGTTGAAGAAAACTGGAAAATACTGAAAATGCAAAATAAATAATATTTATTTTCAGGTATTGGGTATTACATATTCCGTAGTGCAAATTCTCAGAAAAATAATTTCCGAAGGAATCCAGCAGATCCCAAATTGTCCTGTAAGTGCATTTTTTTTTGTTTCTTCTGTTGCTATACAATGTCTCTTTGTACTATTTAAATACACATTTCAGTTGTTGTATTGACTACAATACTCTATTCACAGATCTGAAATTTATACCCACTGCAACTGGAAAAGGGCTTCTTGTCACGGGTTGGTGGGGTTTTGTTCGTCACCCTAATTATCTTGGTGATATCATCATGGCTCTAGCATGGTCACTACCGTGTGGTAAGTTCCTGAAACTAAAGTGGATTTTGTCAGAATGCTTGTATGTTTTGGCACCTGACTGGGTTTGAAATGCACCGTGGTAATTATTTGAGATACTAAAGCCTGTAGTTAATTTAACGTCAGATTTCTGTGTTGTAAGCTTAATGCAACACCTATTTTCTCTTACCTCATATCCTTTATATCTTACTATAGATTTGACATATCATAGTATAGATTTAACTCTTCTTTCTGAGACTTTATGATTCAATAATGATGGGGCTTGCTCACTAATAAGCTGTTCCTTACATTTTTTTTCAGGCTAGTGGCTGTGCTATAGTGTTTTCAAAGGGAGTTCCCAAAAAGTGGGAGTTTGCTTGGAGGCAAGGGCTACCACATGTAGGGATGGACTTTAAGCAAAATATATTAAAAAAAAAATTGTCAAACACAAAGGAGTGGAATTGTGTTTCAAACTTTTTGTTGATGAGTACTTCCTGGTTTTCATAAAGTTTACACTTGGAGGAAATTGGGGAGCCTTTTGTCCAATGGGGTTTTATAGTCCTGATTCTTTGCAAGAGCTTAGAGTGGTGAGAGTTTCAGAAAATTATCTGATCATGGTAATCCTGCCCCTTCTCATTCAAGGTTGAAAAATGGCTTTGAGCTATTCCCTTGCTTGAAGGAGGTGTTTTTTCTATAAAAGCACAGAAAGGAGCATGACAGATGTTCTTCTGAGGCAGTAGCTCCTCTGCAACCCATGGCAGTGTCTGGCTTTTGCAGGCTGTGAGACACAGGGAGTTTTGGTAAAGTGGGACTTTGTCACCAAGTGGTTAAGGCCCTGACCAGGAGCATCGGCTAAGAGAGGATGCTGGCGTTCAGGTGTTCCTCCAGGGGTTAATTTTATTTTGGATTTTAATTGAACGTAGACAGTACTAGATTAGCATACACACTTGTTGACAGTATGCTGAAAGAGTTCCCCCTGTGAAAATGAAGGACTGGAATCCTCTCTCAGCATTGTAGTGGCAGAAGTGGAAGTGTTGCCCTAACTGTGTGAGGGTTGGGGTGGGAGGAGGGGATAAGTTAAGTAGTATGCTCTGAGCAGAGCTAGTTACCACCTACAGCTCACAGCTGCAGGGATCTAACTATTTCTCTGGTTTTGATAGCTAAAGAAATTTAAATATATGCCATCTTTGCATGCATTGAGAGTGAAGTTGGTAGATTTTGAGACTCTGAATTTTAAGGATTATTTGGGGGGGTTTTGTAGGTCTTTTCCTATCTGCATGTAAACACGTCACACAATTTTTGCACAGTCCTGTGGAGTATTTGATGCTTTACGAGTATAAGGCGCTTCAGTGCATAACAAGTACATGTCATCAGCTTAGTACATGTTGTTAATAGCTTACATTTCTGGATAGTTTTTTTCCTATATCTAAAGTGACTTTCTCACTTTATTCTACAGGTTTTAATCACATTTTACCATATTTCTACGTGATATATTTCATCTGCTTGCTTGTCCATCGAGAAGCTCGTGATGAACATCATTGTAAGCAAAAATACGGCTTGGCATGGGAAAGGTATTGTCAGCGTGTACCGTACCGCATATTTCCTTATATCTACTAGAGCACTCCAGATGCCTGATTTGCAGATTACTTCTAAAGTTAGTTTCATTGCAAATAAAAATATACCTCTTACCTTTGCACTTGGTCCATGTGTTATTTAGGCTTTTTAAAAAACAGTGACCAAACAGTGGAGTGCATCAACAGGTATTTACAAGTAATCTGAAATACATGAGTTACGTGAACTGACTGTGACTTCAATTTTTAAAAAATTGTGAATTTTAAAAGTCTTCAAGCCCTAATTTTTCAAGTTAAATTTTATCTAAATCCTGAGTTTACATTTTTTTATTGCATTTAATTAAGCACTGTGATGTAAAGTATATTATTTTCTTAATACAATAAATACAGAAATTCCGTGCAGCTCCTTTTTTTCTTTTTTTTTTGATGTTACTTGTACCATCTAACTTCAGATGTCTGACCTAGTTGCCTGAATTGGAGAAGCAGCAGGGCCTTTTTGGTCAGGTCTTTTTTTGCAGAGCTGGAAGCAGAGGATTCGGCCCACAGGAGGCGCAGTGCTGCCCTGCAGCCCCCCGCCCAGAGCTGGCACAGCACAGCTGGGTGCTTGTCCCCCTCCTGACTTGTCATTAATGGAATTTCCTGGTCAGGGAGGCTCAGGTGGCCCCTCCTGCCCTGTGCCTGCAGGAGGGACAGAAGGGTTGGGATTGGGAGAAGTGAAGGCACGGCTGTCCCCTCCTGTCCCATTCCCACTGACCAAGGTGGCCTCTGAGCTGCCACCTGGCAGCACCCCTGACCCTGGAGGGAAGCCAGGCTTCTGGCTCAGACTCCTGAAGGTAGATGATACAAACGCATGTCTCAGCTGTGGGCAGCGCTGGGGAAGCGAGCAGTGAATCCTAATCCTGCACCTGGCATCGAACACGGGGTAGCAAAAGGTGCAGTGCGTGCGTATTTGACAGAAAAGAATAAAGTGACCACAGTTGGCTTACTCTGATCTTTGTAAATTATGTCTTAATGTACCATAGCGTTTACTGTGTGTATAATAAACCCTCCGGGTTTTTTTGCTGTACAGTGTTTGGATTTGAAAATGCGATAGCTTTCTTAGAAACAGGAGAAATCGGTAACTAAATCAATTTCCAGTAATTTAAAAAAAATGTTCATTGAATAAAGGTTTTTGTAAATTAATGTATTAATTCTTGAAACAATTGAAGTGTTCACTTAAATATCTGTATTGACAGATGCGCTATGAAAATGTAGAAAGTGCTCCTCAATCCAAAGTTGTTTTTTTTTTAATTTGGCATTGCTACCTCATATGTAGGTTTTGCCTTTTGTACTGTTGCGGATAGAGAAAATAGCTATTTTTTTGCTATTGCTATTTAAACCAACATTTTTTACATGAGCCTGTGGTTAAACTCAACCACTGTCTAATATATTTTTGTATATATTTGACTTTTTAACTAATATATGTGTTCTAGACACTAGTGGTGTTCTTTGTCTAACTGGCTGTAAATCAGGTGCCCTTGCATTGTTTACTTCGTAAGTAGAATAATTTTATATTTTACTGAAATAATCTTGCATTAATTAACTAGCTTTTATTCTGTCGTCACAAGTGAGAGCTTTTCACATACTTTGTACGTGAGGTTTATAGCACAAATTGTCCAGAAAAGCTTATTAGAATCTTACATGTAGTGGGGTAGGAACTGCAGGTACACTTGCTTGCAGAAAGGTTCCTAATAAATCAGAATGTTGCTATTCATCAGTTATTTTCAGCTCTTTAAAATGTTGATGTAATTGAAATCCAGCGCATGATTTTTTTAATAAAAGAATCCTCTATTTTGTACACAAGCATTTTTAAAGATAATTGTACATTTGAAGTGTATATAATGTAGCTTGATTGTGGCAGTCTCCTCAGAAAATCTGTATGTTGGTGGTGTAAGGAAAATGTTTTAAGACAAGTACTTTGCTTGCTGGAAAAAAATAGCAGTGCCTGTAACAACACTGAAGCGCATTTACTGCCATGAAGCAGCGGATTAAACTGGGATACTTTTTACAATGGTCACTCAATGGATTAATGGGAAATAGAGCAACCATTTAACTGCACCAGTTTGTAGCTGGTGTTTGAAACTGTACTGAAGGGGTGGGACAGTTGAACTCCTCAGCCTGTAAACTAGGAGATGCTACTGCCATCCCAGTTTTATCTGTTGCTGCGCAAGGTTGTTAAAATGTAATTCAGAGCTCTTGTCTTTCAGAAACAGATCTTGACCAGTTATAACTTCAGTTTATTTACATGCTGAGTTTTATGTGAATTTGATTTTGAAGTAATTGTTTATAATACAAACAAGCCTATAAACTAAAATAAAGCTTTTGCTTAAAATTAAGTAGTGCTTTTTTTTTTTTTTTTTGCCAATTCATGGTGGTGTCTGAAAAAAAAACCCGGCTAATCTTATTAAGTAAAGGTGCAAGTTTGAAGTTCTTTTTGTGTCTGTGGGTTGAGAGTTACAAGCTCGTGTATGGTGCTTCTCTTTGCCTTTCAGGGAATTTTAAGGAACGAAGGTCTATCCATTTAAAGGGGCATCTCCATTTTGCCCTTTTCTTCTGCTTTCCTCTCCTCTTTATGTGAAAGTTTATAGATCTGCCATCAGGCTTGGAGCACATTTGTTCTTTGGATCAACTCCGTCTGTGTCCAGCTACTTTGCTCATCTGCCTGGACTGAAGAAAATCAAAGTGCTCACAAGTAGGTGGTGGTCCTAAGTTAGGAAAAAGTGATGATGTTTACTGGAAATGGTGATGAGTGTTGGTGAGCCTGGAGGTGACGGTGTCCTGGGCCTTTAGGGAGTCCAGTGATGTGGGCAAGGCTAATGCATTACCTCTTGTTGTTCCTCTATTCCGTTAATCCAAAAATAGACTTAATTTTAACTGTAAAAAGACAGGATTAACACTTGCTTTGCCTGTATTACATTGTCTTTTTCCCCACAGCCTCTATTAGAATTCAAAACCAAAGAACAGCTTCCTGTGATCATTGGCAGCCCAAAGAATACTGCACAGGAAATAAATTTTGTGCTAATTTGACCTAATGTGAACAAGACCAGTGGAAATACCATACGTGACTAAAGGAACAGTAATGATCATTTTGCTACAGAAAGTTCCTTACCACAGGTAATAAAAATGTTTGCTGAGATTACATTTACAACAGGTCATTAAAACCGTGTCAGAAGCATAGTTCTTGCCTCTTGTGGAGTGAAAGCTGTTCTGGGGAGTAGGTGTAAAACCTCTCCAGTGTGTGGACAGAGAACATCTTGCACTGTCTGTATATAAACCAAAAACTCACAATACTGTTTTGTGGTGAGGAAGTTCCCTAAAATTAGAAGAAAACGCTTTGATAGTGTTTTTGCATTTTTAACTAGTGTATGTGTTCTAGACACTGGTGGTGTTCTTTGTCTAACTGGCTGTAAATCAGGTGCCCTTGCAGTATTTTAGCAGGAAAGCTAAATGTTGATTTTTTTTTTTTCTTGAAGTTTTTTTAAAACGTAAGTTCTACCTTTTTGTATATAAAAATGTAAGCAATAAGAACGTTACAGGGTACCGGGAGAAAAATATTTCATACTCTATCCGAGGAATAAGCAAAGTCCTCTTGCAATATGGGCAGGGTTACAAAGTCGTTCGAAATGCAGAGCATGCTGGATTGGTACTCCAGCTTTTTTTAATGTGTGTGTGTCTGGTTGTCATATTCACATCACGTCAGCATACCATCCGTCTTTCTCCTTGACTAGCTGGTGCTACTGTAGCCAAATGTTTCAAGCAATTTTAGTTTTGCTCCTTGAGGTAGTTTGTTCTCCTGCCATCTGAATAAGGATAGGAAACGACATGATGCATTTGTGGTCACAGGCAGGCAGACTACAGCAAAGCCTTTTTATGTCTAAATACAGTGTTGCGTATCAAATGACACGCGCTTGGAGGAGCAGGTTATTTATTAGTTGCTTGTTACTTCCCAGTGTCAGCTCTGTGTGTTCACATCAGTGACCAGCATGCCATACTGATGGAAGAGGACATTTTTTCAGTGTAACCATTTGTTTCTTAGCTTCCCCTCTGCATAAAGGATATCAAGAGGGTAACGATTCAATGAGTCCATGTATTCTTCTGTTCTGTCCTTGGCTAAGAAAGGAAAGCTGAGCATGCAGCAGCAGTACCCTTAACAACTGTTAGATCATAAGCTCATCCTGGGGACCTCTGTGAAATGTAAATGGAGATGACTTGCAGCTGAAAATGGGGAATTCTGAGCCAGTGATATTTCCCTTGTAAAATACTTCTTGTGGAAGATGCTGATGCCAAGAGAATTTCAGTCAGTCCACGGAACAGCTGTGACAAATGCCTTCACAGATGTTCAGGAGAAATAAGGACCTTCTTGCTCCTGTATTTCAAACTGCAGAAACTTTTAAATGTTAATCAACTGACCAGCAAGGGAATCCCTGTAAAGCATAAAATCAGATTAAGTGAATTACTGTGAAAAGTACTGTAAAACGTGAGAGATCCTTGGGAGTATAAGCGGAAATTAATGAGCAGAGAAAGGGATAAAAAAGGAAAAAAAAATGAACTGAAAGACACATTAAAATTCAAACCATTCGCTTTTGGCAACAGAGCTTTAAAAAACCCTGTACTGTAACTATTACTAGAAAAGCCTTTCTGCTGGTAAAGACAAATCATGCTCACGTGGAGTTTTTCAAATAGAATAATTGAAAGAACCAAAGCAGCACTGTTTCATGCTCTTGTTACTGTGATTTTATAGTGTTTTCAAGACTCCTCTGAAAGGAAAGTGATACTGTAGACAAAAATACAGACATTGGAATAGCATGGCAATTTCTGTGTGTGTTTATAGCTGCTTATCACAGCCTTTGGGGAATGGAACTTTGCCAGACTGAAAATTCTCACTTCCCACTGAAATAATGGGGTGCTGAGTCTCAGCAGCCAAGATGACAGCGTCCGTGGAAATGCAAATCTGAAAACAGTCACCAACAACGTTGTTACCTGAGTGTGTTCTGCCACTACCATTGT